AGGACGGCGGGAGAAGCGCTCTCGAATTCCGGGGCGGCCGCCTGGTTGCAGGCGACCATCAAATGGGAGTGCCGCCCCTGGAACTCGGCAAGGCCCTGAACCGGCGCGCGGGCGCGTTAAGCTTGGGCCCGCGCCCCGAAATGCTCGGGGAAGAACATCTTGAACTGCGGGTCGATCTCCTCGTCGGGGATGCTCTTCGCCCCCGCCTCGAGGCGGGCAACAAAGTCCGCGCGCAGCTCGCGCATCCGCTCGAGCTTGCCCATGAGCCCGTTGGCCAGGAGCCACTGCGCAGGCCATGCGAAGTGGTAGTGCTCCTTCACCTGCGCGTCAAAGCCTTTGCGCTGCTCTGCGCCCAAAAAAATGTCTTTCTCGGCGTCGTCGACCGCAGCCGCTGCTTCCAGCTCGGCCCCCCCCTCGGCCTCTGCCCGCCGCCGCGCCGACTTCAACTGCTGACGCGCGACGCTGTCGCCGGGGCCCAAGCCTGCGGGCTGGCCGACGACCTGCGCGACGTTGGACTTCGAGTCCGCCAAATCGGCGAAAGCGCCCAGCTTGACGATGCTCGTCCGCGAGGAATTCGGCGACGCCTTCGCGCGCGTCGTCGTCGGCCAGCACGTCGCGCAGCTCGGCGGACAGGGCCTCGGCGACCTCTGCGCTGCACGTGACCGGCGTCGCCCCAGCGGAGGGGCGGGCGGGCCCAGGCTGGGGCTCGCGGCGATTATCCTTAAGCTCGTGCTATGGCATGCTCGCGCGTGCCCCACCCTGCTGCGGCTGCATTCCGAACGCCCTGGCCCGGCTGGCGCGACGGGCGGCCCCCGTTGCAACGGCGGGCAAACGAGTGGGAGCAGGCTGGGCCGAAACGAGGTTGTCGTCGCTTCGGTGGGCCGTGGCAGCTCGCCTAGAACCTCCATTCCCCCCCCCAGGACCCCCCCCATCGCCCGTCGTCGGGCGCCTCTCTTTTTAATGGCATCTGAAGGGGGGTCAGGGAGGAAGGGGGGTCGACGAGGCCCCCGCCATCTTTCGCGCAGATGGCGACTATCTTCGCGCCAGCGGCCCCCGCCCCCCACGGGCTCGCAAGCGCCGGCCTGTCCCCAGAGCGCCGGCGGTCTCTTTCTTGCGGGAGGAGAGAACGACGCCAAAGCTCACAACATACTGTCATGCTCCTGCTCGGAAGGGCGCACTTAGATAATTAGCTAGTGTTATGACGTGTTGCATCTCCCCCTTTTTTTCTCCTCGCGGCCGCCGCGCGGTCGTCGACGCGCGAGCGCGCTGGCTCATGGTCGAAGCGAAAAATCAGATCAGGGGTCCGATTGCGCCGTCGCGCGCGACCCAGACGAGCTCCTGTCAGAGCTGCCGCTGTCGGGTCCAGGACTGCTGCGCGCCGAGCGCGGCGCGCCTAGGACTGCCCATTCTGACCTCTCCACGGCGCTGGCCCTCAAACACCTGTCGCAACGCTGGTGCATATGCAAATTGGACTGGTCTTCAGCAACCCGGTCGCAGCGCGACAGGCTGCGACAGGGTAGAGCCCCGCGCCTGCCAGAGCGGCGGGTCCTCGCGCTGCGCGCCTGTCTCGCGGTTGATCGTTGCGTGGGCCGGCGGCGGCTCTGGCGGTTGCGGGGCCTGGGCTGCGGGCGCGCGAGCTGCTGCCCGCTGCTTTGCGGCGCGCGCTCTCGCCCTCAGCTCCGTCGCCGCCTCGTCCACCGCCAGCAGCTCGAGCTCGCAGCCGCCGCCCGGGCGACGGCCGCCCCGGACATTCTGCCGCGCTCATTCCTTCGCAGCAAGCTCGACGCAGCAGCGACTCTGGTCGCGCCGGATGGGCGCGCCGCTCGCCGGGCCCCGTCGGCCCACGCCGCGCATTTCTTCGAAGGCGAAGCCGGCCTGGCCAGCCATGCCGCACGCGAAGAAACGCGGGCTGTGCAGAGTGCAGCTGGCTGCGCGCCCTGCCACGCGATGCGCGACTGCCGTCGCCATCGGGAAATCGGCACAGCTACCGCGGCGCACTGGGGCGGCGAACTCCAAGGCGCCGTTCGCAAGAGACATCGACGGCCAGAGCCAGGTCCCCGGGAGCGGCAGGGCTGAAGAAGTGCTTGCCCCAGTCGACGCCAGTCCAAGTCACCCGCGACGCTGCCAACGGCACCGGCGCAGGCTTGCCTGTTGAGCGCCAGCATACAGCGCGCAGCGCGTCGCGCCCAAGGCTGACGCCATCGCTGCTGCCCAGGTCGCTGAACCACAGGCCCGCGAAGGCCAGGCACAAGAGGAAGAGGATGGTGTTGGCGGTTGCGTCCAGGTCGTCCTCGCGCGTGCTCAGCAGGGCAAGCAAGTCCACCGCCGTCTGGCACGTGTACGGCGTCGCCTGTAAGCGGGCCTGCATCTCTAGATGGATGTTTTGCCGCGCCTGCGCGGCTGCGTCTTGCAGCGCCCACGGGGCCACCGAGGCTGTGTGTAGCCAGTCCGTACCGTTTAGGAGTACGCGCAGAACGCTGCGCCGCCCGACGCTTGCATCCCGTCACAAATCTGCAATTTCCAGCGGCGTGGGCTTCCAGGGGTCTAAACCTTGGCTTTCAGACCAGCTTCTGAGGCGGCAGACGGCCCGAATGCGCCCCATGAGTGCAGCGGGGATTTTGGCGCTGTGTTGAAACAACATCATCAGTAGGCTGCGTTGTTCGGCCCCTGGCAGTGCGATTTCATTGATCTGCCGCAGTCTGGCTGGCGGCGTGCCGATGTCATCGGCGAGAGCAGAAGCAAGCTGCAGCGCGTTCTCTAGCGTGCTCATTTCCACGTCCGCTGCGGAAGCAGAGGGCGGCGCCACTGCTGGGGCGGTTCGGCGCCGCTTGCCCGGTCGCGGTAGCACTGCGTTTGTCTCCGCCCACTTGGTCGTTTTCGTTGTGGGGATTTCCCTCGGGGGCGGGGACTGGTTCCGCGCCGCGTAGGCGTTTCAGGCCAAGGCGGCTACAACGCGGTCGGCCTCGGCGCTGGCTGTTTGCCACGGCTCTGGCGCGTGCGTGCGCAGTTCTTCGTCGAGGGTGCCCGCCGCTGTGGCCAAGAACTCCCCTTCGGTATCCCAAAGAACGGTTGCTGTAAGGACGCTGCACATGTTTAGCGCCGTAACCACGCGGGCAACAATGTTCGGGCGAGCCCCCACATTTTCGCCACAGCGTGTACCACCCGACACATGCGAGGTGAAAGTGCGTCCAAACAGTCAGGCGCACCCTCGCTCGCCATTGCTACAGACGCGGTGCTGTGGGCGGCGGTGGGGAGAAATGCTGCCGTGCTCGCTGGAGGCTCGAGACATTGAGGCCCGCGTTTAAGCCAGCGTTTGAGCACAAACGGCTACGGAACCGCAGCAGGTGCAGCCGGCCGGCTGGTGCTGTCCGTAATTACGGGGGCGGGTTCGCGTGAAGCCTCGGACCTCGTAGGGTTGTGGATGCCACGACAATGGACACCCGAACAGTCCTGTCATTGAATATAGAATGTGCTTGAACTGTCGGAACATGTTCGAAACATGTTTCAAACATGTGGTTTTACCTGGCGAAAACATGTTTAACACAGATCTTGGACATCTGGAACATATTTGGTAACACTGAAGGGGAAGTGGGACACACGAATAAATAGGCACAAATAAACAGATTCACCATATTTTCCCATATTTTCTGGGGTTCTGTCTTCCCCCCCACTTCCCATATTTTCCCATATTCTCTGGGGAATCGAGGATTAATTGTGTCTGTGTGTTTCTTCCTCTCCCGAAACGGGTCCGGGGTAACTCGGGTTTGGATTCCCGAAAAAGGAACCCGAGTTAGCCCTGACCCGAGTTACCCCTGATGATTCGGGGCTCTGGACGCCCGAGTTATCCGGGGTAACTCGGGTCCGGGATAACTCGGGTTTGGATTCCCGAAAAACGAACCCGAGTTATCCCTGACCCGAGTTACCCCTGATGATTCGGGGCTCTGAAACACGCTTCCTCTCCATTGATCGTCCTCCGCCATCGTGGGGCCGACCCCGCGCGGTTAGCTCGCACGCCCTTGCGCGGACATCCGGGGCGAGGGCGCGGGGAGTCCGCGCGGCCTGGCCGAGGAGGCCGATCCCCCTCTTGGGCGTGGCTCAATGGGGGGGTCACAAATCGGGGATGGACAGAACCCCCTTCAGTAAAACGTGGTTTAGTGAAAACGACCTGAGGCCCAAACCTGGCGGGCGCAAGCCTGGAAACTGACGGCCGCGGCGCCCTCTCGAGAACCGAAAGCGGACAATTCACTAATCGACGTGTCACGGTTGGGGGTTCTGTCCACCCCCGAACAAATGGGGGGGGGGTCAGAAAAGGTCCCCCTTCGTGCCCCTTTCGGGCCCCTCCGGAGCCCCAAGGGGCTCGTTCAGGCGCCGTTCGGGCACCTTTTCGGACCACCCTCGCCCCGCCCCCCCCCCCCCCCCCATTTATGACCCCCCCATTACGCGGCGCCCAATCCTTTCGCAGGGGCCCCCGTCCGGCCTCTCGAAGACTCGTCCCCCCCAAGCCGTCCCCCTCCAACCACAGGTGGCAGGGCCACGGATGTGCGCGGCGCTCCAGCGAGAGCCCCCTTCTCGACCCCACCGATCGATCCGTACAGGTCTTGCAGGACTCTTGAGGCGAGACGTGCCTGGCGATTCTGGGCGAGGGACCCCTTCTGGAAACGCCATGTTCACAACGAGCCCCCTTCTTGTTCGCAAATGTTGCAAGCTTCGCGACGTCAGGATCGGAAGCGGTGAGGAATCCCCAGGGCAAACGCCCAGACCACCCGATCAGCATGTCAAACGAAGGGGAACATCGGGGGGGAACCAGCTCAGGGAGGGAAGCATCGAGCTGGAATCGGCGATTATTCGGCGACGGGCCGATGGATCGGCGATCTGCCCCCAGCAGCAAATCCGAACCTTCCCAGGCGGGGTGGGCCGTCAGGTTCCCGATCGGCGATGCAGAGGCGATTGGGGTCGATGCATCGCCCCTCCAGAGTATAATCCCCGCCATGCTGCCCCAGGGAGGGGTGGGAGACCAGTGCCCGAGCTGCAGGAAAACAGCTGCCCCGATCCTGCTGGCGTGCCACGGGCGGCCGAGATACTGATCGCATCCAACACCCCACGCTGGGCAAGCGACGAGTGTGCACGCCCACCCGCGCTCGGAAGGGCACGTACTGCGGCAATACTGCACGCCAAAAGACAAAGTAAACATGAAGAGTGAGGGGAGGAGGGGATAGAGGGGCAGTGGAGGAGTAAGAGCAACGCAACAAGTGTCTCATCCCAAACGCATAAAATTAGCATTTGGGAAGGGAGCACCTAAACAATTGCTTAGCATTAAACAATTGCTGCCGTAGCAGCAGATGTGGCTATCGGGAGCTGTTTCTAAGCTGTTGCCTCAGGGTCCGTGGTGCAGTGCAGGCCAAACAAATGATGGTACCCTGCTTGATACCCAGACTTCAGAAAAAAAAACGTACTAAACGCACATCCGATCAGCATCCGGTAATTGGGGCCACAGGTTTGCCCCTGGCGACACCCCATCCACTGCGCTGCGTGCTGCCCATTGCCTGTTGCAACGACGCCTTATAGATGCACTTGCACCTGCTTCCCTTGCGGCCTCGGCACCTCTTGCATCGCCTGCCTCGGCTGCTCATGTGATTGACCTCGACGTTGCCGCTTCGTGGGGGCGCTGAAATTTCACACAGACCCATGGCCTTCCTGGGTGAGAGTGACCTACTCCTTCTCTCCGGGGGCTGTAGCTTGTCAGGGTCAGCCACACAGATGAAGGTATTCTCCACCCAGAACTTGACCTCCACTCCTATGATCTCGTCCTGCTTGCCGGGTGCGCCCGCACCCACAATGCCATGTCGAGCTGCCACAAGTCTCGCTGCCATCAGCCGTCGACTGAAATCGCGGGATGCTCGGGCTGAGAAATGTGACTGGGGTTGCTGAGTAGTGCTCTGTGAGCGCGGGTGGCGCACGGGCTGCTGGCGCAAGAGCGCTGCGGGACCTCAAATGTTCGATCACAGACGGCCTTAGCCAGAATGGCTACGGACAAACACGATGACAATGTTGGGGGGACGCACGTCTCTCTCTTCAAGGCCGCACATCATCGCGACGTAGCGACCTCTCAGTCAGACTTGCCGTTCAGAGGGGGAGGGGGGACGCGTCTCTCTTCACAATCGCAAAATCAAGACAGCAAGCATGGCACGTGGTCGACCCCGGGGGGAAGTCGGCATGAGGTGGTCCACAGCCCGTTCGCGCCCAGGTCGGCGGGACCTCTCCGGCAGAGGTGCATTATTTGTGCTGGTGGGGTGGAGGATACTCCAGATTTCGTAATAAACGAGAGGGGGTCACAACCCTCCCAGACGAGAAGTTTTAGACCCCCCAGACTATCCATCAAAGGGGGGCCCTTTGCCCAGACCCCCCCCCCGAACCCCCCAAGACAGCTCAAATTAGACCCCCCCCCGAATGTGACCCCCCCACTTTGTTATTGAATCCGGAGTACCTCTCCAAGACCACGGCGAAGGAGCACGAACAGCACTCGAGCATTCCAAGGTGGTGTCGACCAGCGGTGTTACAGTCGGGGCGTTGACCTCAGGAACCCGAAAGAAAGAACGAGGCCCCTATTTCTCCATATCGAAAACCTAAGGAAAATCCAAGGCAAGCTGCGAAAAAAATAAGGAGCACGGAGCCCCTCCCCAACGAAAAGGGTTCCTTCTTCAGGGCCCCGACTGTACACGGACCTGTTCGTGCCGAACTTGCCCGGAACTCGCAAGAAGAAGGGCAGGTTTCTTGCTCCTTTGGTGTGGTGGTGGGGGGTAGACGTGTCTCTTTTCAGGGCCGCACGGCCATCGCGATGTAGCAGGCACGACACTGTGGCATCCCAATGGGGTGTCGACCGACGGTGCTCTGTGGACCCGTTCGCGACCAGATTGCGACGATCGCCCAGGCAAGCTGCCCGTATTGGTGCGGTAGATGTGTATATTTTGAGGGCCGCATGACCAGCGTGGTGCAACAGGTATGGCACCTGGATTTCCACGAGAGTGTTCGCGCCAAGATTGCGAGGATTACTCAGGCAGACTGGCCGATTTGAGAAGTCGTCGTATGCCGATTCAGGCTCGCATGCTCATCGCGATGGTGCGGGCACGGTACTGGGGCATCTCAAGTGGGCCTCGATCGAGAGGAAGGAGGAGGCGGAGCAACACGGCGCGACCGTGGGCGCCAAGAGGGAGGCATGAATTGCAGAGAGCACTTTAGAGAGCGCAACGCGGCAGGGAGCGACGCAGCTCAGCGAGCAGTGGCAGGGAGCAGTCAACAACCCTCAAACTCAGACGCGTTCCAACTCAGTCGTACTCAGGCCCAGACCTGCCCACGCGAGACACTCACACAAGAAAGCGTCAGAACATGATGTGCAAATGTGGGGATTCGCACGTCAAGCCAATCGAAGCAGGCAGAGAAACCTACGGGTCTCTTGACAATTTTATAGGGTGGCGGCCTTCCTGTGCTCTCTGATGCGTTCGA